CATCGAAGATGTACACCGCCACAGCACTTGGCGAGATAGTGTCACAAAGGATCTGGACTAGCTTCGACACGATCAACTCGGCCAGGAAGAAGGATACGCACGAGAAGAAACTGGTCCTCGACGAACGCAATAACATCACCGAGAAGTCACACGATGAGTGGGATGTGCGAGGCCAATGGATGCTCATAGACGCGATCGAGGCAATCCGATGGGCCTGGATCCTCATTAAGTATGCCTCCGAGACGGTCGTCAACAAATACGTCGATTGGTTCATTCGTCTCGTACGCAAACATTCACAACGCATTAACAACGTGAAGAGCCTTTGGGAAGAATTCTCTTGGGACATCGCCATGCGCATGCGATCTAACGAGACCTTCCAAGCGATCACCGACGACCTCATCAACGACCTCACCAGAGTCAACGACGTCATACAACAACCGCTGTCGAAGAAACAGCGATTCGGCAAAGGCGCCGAACAAACCCCGAAAGGGAAAGGAAAAGGATATCAGCAGAAGTGGTCACCTCCAGGACAAGGACGGCGATATCGACAACCCTGGTCCAATCCGACTACACAATGGCGCTCATGGCAACCTTCGACACCTACGTGGACCACACAGGCCATGTCTTCTTGGCAAGCCACCCCGACACAAGCATGGACATCTCCTACGACGCCGACTTTCTTTACTCCGACACCATCACCGACCCTGCCACTGAACCCGGCTCCTCATGTATCTCAAACACGACCTCCTTGGAACGCGAAGGGAGACAAAGGCTCGAAAGGCGCCGGCAAGAAGGGCAAAGCCGGTAAGTCCGGCAAGAAATAGGGACAGCACGGCCCAGGGTCTGCTGACCCTGGAGCCGACCATCGACCGACAGAGTTACACGACCGAACTTGTACATTGTGCTACGAGCTGGTCGGCACCTTACCGGTGGTGCACCTGTCCTTCTTCGATGGTATCGGGATTGCCTCCGAAGCACTACGACGAATCAATGGGCACATCCTCCTGACCCTTTCTTGGGAGATCGACCTCGAATGTGCACAGTTTACTTCACAACACTTCGGATCCATACAAATGGGGGACGTGACACAGTTCGACATCGAGTCCGTCGCGGAGCACATCGATGCTGCTACTCTCCATCAACAATACATAATGGTGATAACCGCTGGACCACCCTGCCCCGATTTTTCGAACTTGCGTCACCGACCCCCAGGCTCCGAGGGCACATCGGGTTGGCTTTTCAGTCACATGGTGGGCATCGAACACCAACTCCGGAAACGCTTCACTGGCATCGCCATTGAAACGATCTTCGAGAACGTGGTCCCTCACCCGGATGTTCACGACAACTTGCTTGAGCTCACATCGCCACTGAGTATGGACCCCATAGTCGTCGATGCAGCCGACGCCGGAATCATGCACCGGAAGCGGCTGTGGTGGACATCGATCCCTTGGAACATCATCGAGGAACGCCTTCCACGACTCACACCTTGGTCCTTGGACTGGAAACTTGAGGGAACATGGCACCGACTCCACAACCCGATCGCTAAGGAATTGCAGACACACATCAAGACGAAGGACTACTCCCTTCCCCCATGCCTCCATAGCGACAAGAAACTTTTCCATTGCTTGACTACACCATCAACATCGACTACGGGCCGAGATCCGCCTACACATCTCCGAGATCGCTCGACTTCACATGATGCGTGGCAACGATGGGAACAGGACAATCGTCGATACCCCGTGTGGCAGTACGAGGAGCAGTTCTTGGTGACATTGCCCGATGGCACATGGTCTACAGCACCCGCCACACTTCGAGAACAACTTCAAGGTCTACCGCTGGACTACACCGCCACACTCGCCCAGGGCGACGAAACCAAACGATGCGTTGCTTTAGGCAACTCTTGGCATCTCCCCACGGCAGTTTGGATCATGTTCCTGCTGCTTCTCGGGACCGTCAACGCGACCATCCCCGACACACCACGATCTTCGGCTCTCCAACAGATTACTGCCTTGTGGCTACACCACAAAGTCCCTTTCGGTCCTCCTCCTCGTTCCACGACACACAACTACATGCCTCAGTTCTCCTGGACAGAACACCTCGATTGGGCACTTCATCGCGACACACACTTGGCCCCGAAGCCACTGGATCCTACCCTCGAGTGGTGCCTACAACATCGACATGTGTTTCACCCACTCGTAGATTTCCAGAAAGCGATCATCGCCGACATCCGCGAGCTCGTCGAAGACATGGAGGATCACACCATGGCCTGGTATCACACACTCCCAGAACACGTACAACGAGCATACCGACACAAGGATTCAGTCACACAGATCCCAGTACTCGTTCACTTACTACGACTGATCCAATACCCACAAACAGAGCTGATATATCGCGAACTCTCCGAAGGTTTCCCCTTGATGGGCAAGTTGACCCCAGGCATCAACTGGCACGTTCGACAAGACCTTAAATATCTCGAACCCACACCGATCGACGAGTTTGGTGACAAGAACCGACAGTACATCCACGACAAGATCGAGAAGAATTCCGTCGACGAACATTGGGAACTGATGCTGGATGAAATCCTGGCCGAAGTCGACATGGGACGCATGAACGGACCTTATCAAGCCCCCGACTGGTGGCCTCGCGCTGCCACGGTACCACCAAAAGGGAAACATCGAGCCCTGTTACCACTACCACACTCCGATCCCTACATCGCCATGGCTTTCAGCATCGAACAGACCGGCAGCGACGGCAACAACAAAGTCCGACGAGGCGAGGATTGGCGCCGGAGTGGCCACAATGCGACCTGCACCATGCACGACCAACCGTACCATCACACACCCGACCACTTTATTTCCTTGGGACTCGCTACACTCCGAACCGATCACTCGAAACCCTTGTCTGTTTGGGGACATGACCACGACGGGGCTTATCGCCAACTTCCACTTCGTGATCCTCGAGAAGCCTATGTGATGTTGCTGACCCCGGACGGCCCAACGCTGTGGAGCCACAATGTCCTTCTTTTCGGATCGGCCGCAAGTGTCTGGTCTTACAATCGATTCGGCGACATTCTCGTGGCCTGCAGCCGAACGATGATCTTGTCTCCGGCCATGCACTACGTCGACGACTACGGATCCATGGAAGACTCCGACCTCGCCAAAGGCAGCTTCGAGTCCTTCGAGGAGTACAACGGATGTCTCCAGATATCGATGAAACCCAGTAAACGCCAACCACCACAAACAGCACATCGTATACAAGGAGTCATCATTTCATCCGACGACGACAACTTGGTCCTCACACCTTGTCCAAAGAGAGTCGAAAACATGTGTAGACAAATCGACACACACCTGGCTACCTCGTCACTGTCCCCCGAGCAAGCCAGGAAGATGGCCGGGAAGTGCAACTTCCTGACTGGGAGACTATTTGGCAAGGTGGGCCGAGCGGCCCTGAAGGCACTTTATTCTCGAGCTCACTCCTACTCACATGCCCTCGACAAGCCCACGCGCTCATCACTGCTCGCCCTCAAGGACATCATACAGCACTGCCGACCAATGACGATACCACGCACACCGACCAAGCCGACATACAGCGTCATCTATACGGACGCATACTTCCGGCTTGGCTCCACCATCTACAAGCCGGGAGACAGCGACATCCCGAATTGGGACTCAAAGTCGACGTCCGACATCGAAAACGGCTGGGCGGCGGTTTGCTTCCACCACGGTGACGTGCAAACCGCCGCCTACTTCCAGGGTCGTCTTCCTTCACTACTTGTTCGACAGTTCGCCTCCGACCAGGCCTTCATCTACCTTCTCGAAGCATGGGTAGCGATACTGGCACCGTTGGTCTTCGAACCGTGGCTGGATCAGTTCTACGTTCAATGCTGTGACAACGAAGCCTCCCGACACGCCCTACTCAAGGGCGTCGGCAAACATCAACCTTTGAATTGCCTCATTGCGGCACATTGGACTTGGCACAATCGACGCAGTATTGCACATCGACTTGAGCGGGTACCCACCAAGGCGAACATCTCCGACGGGATCAGCCGCTTTGAGAACGTTCCGGAGTCTGAGAGCTGGACTAAACTCGATTTGCCTCTTAATGCACTGACGAGTAGAGCTGCGAAGATCATAGGAGATATCCATTTTGCTTCCTCGACGGGTTTTTCCGACTTACCCGAAATTCACCGATTGCACGACCATTTGCTTTCGATGTTACGATAATGTTCTTTCGAGTGGCGTTCGCCTGCGATGGGAGGACGCGACCACACTCGATGGGAACCAGTCGGTCCTCCCAGCGGAAGGAAAGATCAACACCGATCTGTAAGATCGACTACTTCGATCTGTAAGATCGAAGCGCAGACTTAACGCCACCGAAGCGGAAGCAGTTGGAAAACATCTCCGCTGAAGCCAGGGATTCATGGCCTTTGTGTGAGAATTTCGTTGTCGTGTAGCACACACTTGTTTGTGCGAAGTGACAACTTCATATCTCACTTAAACACCGAATCGGTCAGGGGATTGACTCACCGATTCATGTCGAATGATTGTATACTCCGTGGCCATTTTGGCGAAAGCTGTTACAGCTTGAGCGAAATTTTGTTTCACCCACCCGTCCCGACCCTCTTCGATATTACTTTAATTTTCCTCTGCTTCCTGTCTGCGAGCACCGCCTGGGAACCAGTCGGTCCTCCCAGCGGAAGGAAAGATCAACACCGATCTGTAAGATCGACTACTTCGATCTGTAAGATCGAAGCGCAGACTTAACGCCACCGAAGCGGAAGCAGTTGGAAAACATCTCCGCTGAAGCCAGGGATTCATGGCCTTTGTGTGAGAATTTCGTTGTCATGTAAATCTAGCTAGCCTTGCTAAGCCTTGATGATTCTTGTGCTGGACTAAGTCTGGAAAGAACTCGGCCATAATGCGTTGTCATGTTTTCTGACTGTGGTTGGCCTTGGCAATTGATCTCGTCCACGTCAGGCATGTAGGAGGTGACAACTGCTGATGCTTGCCGTAAATCCTTGCCTGACAGGACCCGACAGGGTGGGTCAGCTGGGCAGCTTCTTCTCCAGCTTGAAGGCGTCCGGCGTGCGGTTGAGCATCATCACGAAGGGCAACGTGGGGGCCTGCAGATACCTCCTGGAGCACGAAGGGCTGCTGCAACATTTCGAGCAGGTCTTTGGGATGCTCGGGCAATTCTACGGCGAGTCAGACTTCGATCGAGCCAACCCGGAGCCATCGCCACTGGAAGGCAGCTCCGACTGCGAGCTGCGTGAGTCCAAGGCGAATCTCATCCGCAGCTTGATGTCTCGAGAGTCCTTGGCGGTGGAGGAAGCGTGCTTGGTGGAGGACGACGCCCATGAGATTGCATCTGTTCAGGGCATCTGTCGCAGCGTCTTCGTGGCGGAGAGGCGTGGGATGACAGGGAGCGAAATGAATGAGCTGCGAAGCTTTGCCGGTGCGATGGCTGCAGATGTGGTGAAGGCCAAAGCAGTGGCCAAAGTGGTGGCAAAGCCGCAGGTGGCGCCCCCGCCGCCACCAGACGGCTTCAGCGGCATCTGCAAAGCTGGGGGCGAGGGTGCATCGCTTTCGAAGGGCCCTGTGCCGCCGGCACCGCCTGTGGGCTTCAGTGGCGTTTTGAAGTCACCACCGGAAGCAGCTGCAAAGCCTGCCGCAGCACCGACGGCAACACCGGCAACACCGGCAGCAGAGGGCACGCAGACAGCTCAGGGCGGCTTGAAGCACGTGTACTTGGATTTCGACCAGACCATCTCCACGATCCACGTCTTCAAGCAGCTCGCCGGGTGGGAACCCGGTGTGGACGCACCCCATGCGCTGTCTGAGCGAGGGCAGATCCACCGGCTGAAGATGTTGAACGCGGGCCTGCAGTACAACTACCAGAGTAGCAAGGGCATGGTGGTGCCGTGTGCCGCTGGGGCAAAGGGCTCATCGTGGACGGCATGTGCTTTGGGAGGACTGATGTTCTTGCGAGAGTTGGCACTCGTGACATTCGAGGGTTTGAGGTGTGGTCCGTGCTCTTTGTTTTTCTGGGCTTGGGGTTCGGGGAGTTCAGGTTTTGAAAAACTTGGTGTGGGTCAGGGTCAGACTTGGACTATTGCAGCTTGTTCCAATTAGCGAGATAGCCGTCTCACCTAGCACTGCAGCCCAGCTTGTCACACTAACCAAGTCCAATAGTCATGTAAATCTAGCTAGCCTTGCTAAGCCTTGATGATTCTTGTGTTGGACTAAGTCTGGAAAGAACTCGGCCATAATGCGTTGTCATGTTTTCTGACTTTGGTTGATGGGAGCTATGTCGCCGGCCTTGGCAATTGATCTCGTCCACGTCAGGCATGTAGGAGGTGACAAGTGCTGATGCTTGCCGTAAATCCTTGCCTGACAGGACCCGACAGGGTGGGTCAGCTGGGCAGCTTCTTCTCAAGCTTGAAGGCGTGCGGTGTGCGGTTGAGCATCATCACGAAGGGCAACGTGGGGGCCTGCAGATACCTCCTGGAGCACGAAGGGCTCCTGCAGCATTTCGAGCAGGTCTTTGGGATGCTCGGACAATTCTACGGCGAGTCCGACTTCGATCGTGCCAACCCGGAGCCATCGCCGCTGGAAGGCAGCTCCGACTGCGAGCTGCGTGAGTCCAAGGCGAATCTCATCCGCAGCTTCATGTCTCGAGAGTCCTTGGCGGTGGAGGAAGCATGCTTGGTGGAGGACGACGCCCAGGAGATTGCATCTGTGCAGGGCATCTGTCGCAGCGTCTTTGTGGCGGAGAGGCGTGGGATGACAGGGAGCGAAATGAATGAGCTGCGAAGCTTTGCCGGTGCGATGGCTGCAGATGTGGTGAAGGCCAAAGCAGTGGCCAAAGTGGTGGCAAAGCCGCAGGTGGCGCCCCCGCCGCCACCAGACGGCTTCAGCGGCATCTGCAAAGCTGGGGGCAAGGGTGCATCGCTTTCGAAGGGCCCTGTGCCGCCGGCACCGCCTGTGGGCTTCAGTGGCGTTTTGAAGTCACCACCGGAAGCAGCTGCAAAGCCTGCCGCAGCACCGACGGCAACACCGGCAGCAGAGGGCACGCAGACAGCTCAGGGCGGCTTGAAGCACGTGTATTTTGATTTCGACCAGACCATCTCCACGATCCACGTCTTCAAGCAGCTCGCCGGGTGGGAACCCGGTGTGGACGCACCCCATGCGCTGTCTGAGCGAGGGCAGATCCACCGGCTGAAGATGTTGAACGCGGACCTGCAGTACAACTACCAGAGTAGCAAGGGCATGGTGGTGCCGTGTGGAGGAATGGGCGCGTCTTGGACTGCGTGTGCTTTGGGAGGACTGGTGTTTTTGCAAGACTTTGCGACTGCTGAGGTGTGGTCCTCGCTCTTTGTTTTTTTGGGCTTAGGGTTCGGGGAGTTCAGGTTTTGAAAACCTTGGTGTGGGTCAGGGTCAGACTTGAACTATTGCAGCTTGTTCCAATTAGCGAGATAGCCACCTAGCGCTGCAGCCCAGTCTATGAAGGTCTTATAGGGCTTAGATGGGAAATGCAGCTCGTCACACTAACCAAGTCCAGTGGTCATGTAAATCTGGCATAGCCTTGATGATGTTTGTGTTGGACTAAGCGTGGAAAGAACTCGGCCATAATGCGTTGTCATGTTTTCTGACTGTCGTTGATGGGAGCTATGTCGCCGGCCTTGGCAGTTGATCTCGTCCACGTCAGGCATGTAGGAGGTGACAAGTGCTGATGCTTGCCGTAAATCTTTGCCTGACAGGACCCGAGAGGGTGGGTCAGCTGGGCAGCTTCTTCTCCAGCTTGAAGGCGTCCGGCGTGCGGTTGAGCATCATCACGAAGGGCAACGTGGGGGCCTGCAGATACCTCCTGGAGCACGAAGGGCTGCTGCAACATTTCGAGCAGGTCTTTGGGATGCTCGGGCAATTCTACGGCGAGTCCGACTTCGATCGTGACAACCCGGAGCCATCACCGCTGGAAGGCAGCTCCGACTGCGAGCTGCGTGAGTCCAAGGCGAATCTCATCCGCAGCTTGATGTCTCGAGAGTCCTTGGCGGCGGAGGAAGCGTGCTTGGTGGAGGACGACGCCCAGGAGATTGCATCTGTGCAGGGCATCTGCCGCAGCGTCTTCGTGGCGGAGAGGCGTGGGATGACAGGGAGCGAAATGAATGAGCTGCGAAGCTTTGCCGGTGCGATGGCTGCAGATGTGGTGGTGGCAAAGCCGCAGGTGGCGCCCCCGCCGCCACCAGACGGCTTCAGCGGCATCTGCAAAGCTGGGGGCAAGGGTGCATCGCTTTCGAAGGGCCCTGTGCCGCCGGCACCGCCTGTGGGCTTCAGTGGCGTTTTGAAGTCACCACCGGAAGCAGCTGCAAAGCCTGCCGCAGCACCGACGGCAACACCGGCAACGCCGGCAGCACAGGGCACGCAGACAGCTCAGGGCGGCTTGAAGCACGTGTACTTTGACTTCGACCAGACCATCTCCACGGTCCACGTCTTCAAGCAGCTCGCCGGGTGGGAACCCGGTGTGGACGCACCCCATGCGCTGTCTGAGCGAGGGCAGATCCACCGGCTGAAGATGTTGAATGCGGACCTGCAGTACAGCTACCAAAGTAGCAAGGGCATGGTGGTGCCGTGTGCCGCTGGAGCAAAGGGCTCATCGTGGACGGCATGTGCTTTGGGAGGACTGATGTTCTTGCGAGAGTTGGCACTCGTGACATTCGAGGGTTTCAGATGTGGTCCGTGCTCTTTGTTTTTCTGGGCTTGGGGTTCGGGGAGTTCAGGTTTTGAAAAACTTGGTGTGGGTCAGGGTCAGACTTGGACTATTGCAGCTTGTTCCAATTAGCGAGATAGCCGTCTCACCTAGCACTGCAGCCCAGCTTGTCACACTAACCAAGTCCAATAGTCATGTAAACCTAGCTAGCCTTGCTAAGCCTTGATGATTCTTGTGTTGGACTAAGTCTGGAAAGAACTCGGCCATAATGCGTTGTCATGTTTTCTGACTTTGGTTGATGGGAGCTATGTCGCCGGCCTTGGCAATTGATCTCGTCCACGTCAGGCATGTAGGAGGTGACAAGTGCTGATGCTTGCCGTAAATCCTTGCCTGACAGGACCCGACAGGGTGGGTCAGCTGGGCAGCTTCTTCTCAAGCTTGAAGGCGTGCGGCGTGCGGTTGAGCATCATCACGAAGGGCAACGTGGGGGCCTGCAGATACCTCCTGGAGCACGAAGGGCTCCTGCAGCATTTCGAGCAGGTCTTTGGGATGCGCGGCCAATTCTACGGCGAGTCCGACTTCGATCGTGCCAACCCGGAGCCATCGCCGCTGGAAGGCAGCTCCGACTGCGAGCTGCGTGAGTCCAAGGCGAATCTCATCCGCAGCTTGATGTCTCGAGAGTCCTTGGCGGTGGAGGAAGCATGCTTGGTGGAGGACGACGCCCAGGAGATTGCATCTGTGCAGGGCATCTGTCGCAGCGTCTTTGTGGCGGAGAGGCGTGGGATGACAGGGAGCGAAATGAATGAGCTGCGAAGCTTTGCCGGTGCGATGGCTGCAGATGTGGTGAAGGCCAAAGCAGTGGCCAAAGTGGTGGCAAAGCCGCAGGTGGCGCCCCCGCCGCCACCAGACGGCTTCAGCGGCATCTGCAAAGCTGGGGGCAAGGGTGCATCGCTGGCGAAGGGCCCTGTGCCGCCGGCACCGCCTGTGGGCTTCAGTGGCGTTTTGAAATCACCACCGGAAGCAGCTGCAAAGCCTGCCGCAGCACCGACGGCAACACCGGCAACACCGGCAGCACAGGGCACGCAGACAGCTCAGGGCGGCTTGAAGCACGTGTACTTTGATTTCGACCAGACCATCTCCACGATCCACGTCTTCAAGCAGCTCGCCGGGTGGGAACCCGGTGTGGACGCACCCCATGCGCTGTCTGAGCGAGGGCAGATCCACCGGCTGAAGATGTTGAACGCGGGCCTGCAGTACAACTACCAGAGTAGCAAGGGCATGGTGGTGCCGTGTGCCGCTGGGGCAAAGGGCTCATCGTGGACGGCATGTGCTTTGGGAGGACTGATGCTTTTGCAGCTGTGATGTTAACCTTCATTAACCTTCCCCTGCCTGGCTCGCGCACTCTCGAGTTTCTACTTGTAGGTGTTGGAGCATGAAGCCGCCCTTGTCCTTATTGATTCTTGTCTTCGTTGTCGGGTCTGAAAGTTGCTCACGGAACATGGACAAAATCACAGGAGAGCAGTACCGTCATGAACAAGAGGACAGCACAAGGCCCTGTGATGCCCGGTGTCAAAGCAGAACAAGAAAGCATTTCGTAAGTCCGGTCTTGCTCCGACTAAGAAGAACACATTGTAGGAAATGTCCATCTCCCCCTGCCCTGCTTGGTCAGTTAATTGGCTGTCAAAACCTACAACGCAGCAAGCTCAGAGATGAGATCACAGATCACTGTCCAGGTCTCGTTACTCGCCTGTTTTCACAAGGCAGCTGAACAAAAAGCGAGATGTCATGTTGATAGAGTCGCAGAGCGAACGGATTCCGGCACTTGCTCCGTCGGGAGTAGTCATACCCTGGTTGGCTGATTATGGCTTTCCGATCCCTGGTGTGTTCTCTGTTTGGGGTGTTCCGATCCGTGCCGATTTCTTACCAAAGTGCTACGTAGCTTTGACTGTTGATCAGCACAAGAATGTTGCATGTTGAAGCAGGACCCGAAAGAGTGGGTCAGCTGGGCAGCTTCTTCTCCAGCTTGAAGGCGTCCGGCGTGCGGTTGAGCATCATCACGAAAGGCAACGTGGGGGCTTGCAGATGCCTCCTGCAGCACGAAGGGCTGCTGCAGCATTTCGAGCAGGTCTTTGGGATGCTCGGCCAATTCTACGGCGAGTCCGACTTCGATCGTGCCAACCCGGAGCCATCGCCGCTGGAAGGCAGCTCCGACTGCGAGCTGCGTGAGTCCAAGGCGAATCTCATCCGCAGCTTGATGTCTCGAGAGTCCTTGGCGGCGGAGGAAGGGTGCTTGGTAGAAGACGACGCCCAGGAGATTGCATCTGTGCAGGGCATCTGCCGCAGCGTCTTCGTGGCGGAGAGGCGTGGGATGACAGAGAGCGAAATGAAGGCGCTGAGGCGGCTAGCCGGCCTTCCCGATGCTGAGCTCATGGCGAAGACAGGAACATCCAGAGCCGAGAACGCAGCAGCAGAAAGCCCGGTGACCTTGCCTCCGAAGGCCGTGACAGCGCGTGCGCTCCAGGCTCCACCGGCCCCTGTTCTGGAGAAACCTGCCACGGCGCTCACGATCGATCCAAGCTTGCCAGAGACATCGAAGGTTCAGCACATCTACTTCGATTTCGACCAGACCATTTCCAGGATCCATGTCTTCAAGCAGCTAGCTGGCTGGGAGCCGGGCGTCCGCCCGCCCCACGCTTTGTCGGAGAGGGGACAGATCCACCGGCTGAAGATGCTGAATGAAGCCGGCCCCATCTTCGTCTACGATGGTCAAGCTGTTCAGGTGGCGGAGACGTCCCAGAGCACAACTGCTTCGTGGACGGCCTGTGCGCTAGGAGGACGCTGCACTACGCTGCACACATACCCACGCACACAAACGCCCACAAGCACGTGCAGTGTACTCGCATTGTGGTGGAGCATCCAATGTGTAACTTCAATCGAAGCGCGAGCTTCTTGTCGCTACTTCCCGCACACGCATTCGTTTGGTCCTGCTGTAGGTGTCTGAGCTAGCACGGAGCATGACAGGACCCGAGCGCGTGGGTCAGCTGGGCAGCTTCTTCTCCAGCTTGAAGGCGTCCGGCGTGCGGTTGAGCATCATCACGAAGGGCAACGTGGGGGCCTGCAGATACCTCCTGGAGCACGAAGGGCTGCTGCAACATTTCGAGCAGGTCTTTGGGATGCTCGGCCAATTCTACGGCGAGTCCGACTTCGATCGTGCCAACCCGGAGCCATCACCGCTGGAAGGCAGCTCCGACTGCGAGCTGCGTGAGTCCAAGGCGAATCTCATCCGCAGCTTGATGTCTCGAGAGGCCTTGGCGGCGGAGGAAGCGTGCTTGGTGGAGGACGACGCCCAGGAGATTGCATCTGTGCAGGGCATCTGCCGCAGCGTCTTTGTGGCGGAGAGGCGTGGGATGACAGGGAGCGAAATGAATGAGCTGCGAAGCCTCGCCGGTGCGATGGCTGCAGATGTGGTGAAGGCCAAAGCAGTGGCCAAAGTGGTGGCAAAGCCGCAGGTGCCGCCCCCGCCGCCACCAGACGGCTTCAGCGGCATCTGCAAAGCTGGGGGCAAGGGTGCATCGCTTTCGAAGGGCCCTGTGCCACCGGCACCGCCTGTGGGCTTCAGTGGCGTTTTGAAATCACCACCGGAAGCAGCTGCAAAGCCTGAGTCCAAGGCGAATCTCATCCGCAGCTTGATGTCTCGAGAGTCCTTGGCGGCGGAGGAAGGGTGCTTGGTAGAAGACGACGCCCAGGAGATTGCATCTGTGCAGGGCATCTGCCGCAGCGTCTTCGTGGCGGAGAGGCGTGGGATGACAGAGAGCGAAATGAAGGCGCTGAGGCGGCTAGCCGGCCTTCCCGATGCTGAGCTCATGGCGAAGACAGGAACATCCAGAGCCGAGAACGCAGCAGCAGAAAGCCCGGTGACCTTGCCTCCGAAGGCCGTGACAGCGCGTGCGCTCCAGGCTCCACCGGCCCCTGTTCTGGAGAAACCTGCCACGGCGCTCACGATCGATCCAAGCTTGCCAGAGACATCGAAGGTTCAGCACATCTACTTCGATTTCGACCAGACCATTTCCAGGATCCATGTCTTCAAGCAGCTAGCTGGCTGGGAGCCGGGCGTCCGCCCGCCCCACGCTTTGTCGGAGAGGGGACAGATCCACCGGCTGAAGATGCTGAATGAAGCCGGCCCCATCTTCGTCTACGATGGTCAAGCTGTTCAGGTGGCGGAGACGTCCCAGAGCACAACTGCTTCGTGGACGGCCTGTGCGCTAGGAGGACGCTGCACTACGCTGCACACATACCCACGCACACAAACGCCCACAAGCACGTGCAGTGTACTCGCATTGTGGTGGAGCATCCAACCCAGAGGCTCGGTTATTGAAAAAATCACAATGAGCAAAGTCAACATCAACATCATATTGAAAAAGCGCTTCATATCAATATATGGTTTTCAGGCCCAAAGGGCTCATATCAATATAAATGCTTTCGGATTTTCAATACGAGGGCAGGCCAAAATCAATATGACAATCAATACATGCAATATGTTGGCATATAGCCTAAACCCAAAACCCGCAAAAGAAGCCTAGGCCCGGGTTCGGCCCCATGCCTCGGCCCTAAGGTCCGATGCAAGGGTTCGAACCCGGTCCTGGGCTGGGAATGTCATCTTGGGACTTTGTTCTGCCTTGCCACTCAGAGAGCTTTGAACTGCAGATGCTTCGCCACTCTGTACTTCGTACAGACAAGGGCTGGCACCTTGTGCGGGGGATTGCTAGACAAGCACGACTGAGCAAGAGCCGTGACACTGCCCACCATACTCTCACCGGAATAGCACCATTGAGCCTTGGGGCTGAGAAATCGTGTTTCCTCAGCAATGTGCTCTGAGTAGTGCAGCTTGGTTCGTATGGGCCACTTCTTCTCGTCTTTGTTGAAGCACATGTGTGACAGAGCAGCAAAATGAACTGCAAACTGGTGGCTCTTCTGTTTGTACAGCCGTGCTTCGGAGGTAGGCAGGAACAAATCGTTCCGATCCACGATCTTGTACATGCTGTCGAGGGCCTCAAGGCACGTCAATCTCAGCTTTCTGTATTTGTCACGGCCTGTATAGCGACGACACAGTTCGGCTGCCACAGGGACCAAGTACCGAACCTGCCTGGCTTTCACAGCTGCATGCGAAAGGTCTGGAAAGTTTTGGTGTGGAGCATTTTCTACAGCAAAGTAGGTATACTCCAGGTGGGTGATCCGGTTCTGCTTTATGTCGAGAAGGTCATAGATTTCGCGAATTTCTTCTGTCAATTTGTTCAACTTCTGAGGCTTTGTTCCAGACAGCTCGTTGTAGCACATGTCAAAGAAAACCGTGGCAATTGCTGTGCCTGCAGGGCCTAGCTCTAGGCAATGCATCGGATCAAAAACGAAAGTGAAAGGATTGGTTCCGAGCACAGTGCTGACCCAGTGCTTCGTAAGCACAGTGTCGGGTGTGTAGCAAAGCTCTCTCCACTTGGCATTCGTCGACAAATCTCTCCAGGGAGCATCTGTTTGGTTCGCCCTGCACCTCATACAGGGCTGGGTAGCTGCATGGTGCGGCAAACCATACTTCAGACTCAGGTGCTCGCAGTCCGCCAGGGCTAGCCACAGCACCCCTCTCCTTTTTGTCTGGGGGTCTAGCAGGGAGCCTGCAAGACCTTCACGGCGAGAACCTGCAGGAAAGGGCTTACCGAAAGGGTCCCTTTCGGGGTGCCTTCCTTGGAAGGCTGCATTCCATGACCAGACCCACCACTTTCCCAACTCGTCCTTGGTATCTCCCAGGAATGGAACATCCAAGGTTTTGCAGGTTTTGCTCGAGCTGGTGCAAGCAGTTGGGATGGCTCCCAAAAGTAGGACAGAAGTTTTCACACCGAGATCTGTCAAAGCAGATTTGAAACTCAAAACATCCATGGAATCGTGCTTCTGGTGAGGCCCTGCATCTCCGTGCAGCACAAAGGGATAAACCAATTCTCGCCACATCTTCTGAGATTTGAGAGGATTGCCTTGAAGCCTGGGATCGTCGCTTTTCACTCGGCCCCAAAAATCTCGTATCTCGGACTCTGTGCGGAAGACAGCATCCAACATGCCATCCACCTGGGCCAAGGAAGAGAACCAGTCGTGCGGCAGAAAGATGGATAAAGGTGCTCGTTTGCTGCTCCTGCCAGCCGTCCCTTTCCGGATCACAGCACAGTCCACTTCCACAGGCTCTGGAATCCAGCCCATACCTCGAAACAACTGCTGCAAATCCCTGTTGCAGTTTCGCTCGGAGTGGCCATGGGCCCCGAGGCGAGACAAACTCGAAACATCGCTCGCCGAATCGCCAAAGGTTTCAACCATGGACTTGGCGAACTCCTGCACCGAGCCGGCTGAGATCTCGCCCCAGGCCCAGGAGGACACGAGCTTGTGCTTGACGGGAAGTCCACATCTGTTGCAGGCGCATCCTCATCACCGAGAGCTCTTCGTTTTCGTCTCTGATGGTGGCCCCCCCTGCCATCAGCGGCTCTTTTGCCCATGGCAGCTACAAGGCTGCAAGCCCATAGCTTTGTTTGAACATGAGGTAGCTTCGAGGTGGTTGCCCTCAACACAACAAAAAGCGCCGAAGGCAAAGGCCCTGAGCTGCAACACTGCATCGCCCTGACGACTTCTTTCTCGGGAACTGCTCACTGCAGTGGGCTCCGCACCATCGACTCTTCGTCGGCAGCAGTGTGGCAGGTCTACTGTCGGATGAAATCTTTGATCAAATCGGATCTGGAGGCCAGAATCTCAAAACGGGATCACTCAAGCTGTGCTTTACCCTGGCGGCTTAAAAGTCTTACAGTTTGAAAGGTGCAGGCGAAAACGAAGTCCCTAGAAACAGCCTCCTCTAGAAGAGCTTTCAGCTGTCGTCCTCGAGGGACAAAACCTCAGAGCAGGACTTGGCGACCTTGGCCGACCGGCGGACCAGAGCGACAAGCTTCTTGTCGTCCAGCTTCTTGGACCTGAAAAGCTTGAGCACTTCCTTCAAGTCATTCATCTTGCCCTGGATCTGCTTCTTCTCCTTGCCATCCGCCTCAAGCAGCTTTTCCTCCAACAGCGATTCGACTTCACAGCAAGCACCTTTGGCACGAACAACAGCAAGCTGCAGCTTGTCCTTGGACACCGTCTTGCCTGACACGAGGCCTTCGCAGTTCTCCAGGGCTCTCAGAGCTTTGCTGTCAGCTGTAAAGGCCTGCGACCCCGTTGCCGCTTTGCCAAAGCCGAAGTCGTCGAAGTCCTGGGCCTTATTCTTCTTGTTGCCGATGAGAGCCGTGAGGTGGTCCTCGGTCTCTTCGGCCTTCTTCTTGGGATCCTTCTCGTCCTTGGGGAGCTCGAACTTAAGCTCCTGCTTCTGGTTGTCCAGGTCGTGGAGAACCTTGAAGTCGCTCCAGGTGCACTTCCCCGAATGCTGGATCATCTTGGCCATCTCCTTCTTCGCCTCCGTCGTCTGATAGTCCGAGGTTTCGAGGAATTCGGGGAATCTCTCGTCTTGGGGGCACTTGCGAACAGCAATGGTGCCTGCGAGCACCCTCGCCTTCAGCTCTCTCGCTCCATACTTCATGTTGAGCATGAAGTGAAGAGGCTGCCAAACCGCTTTGCTGCCCTTCACCTCCGAGGTGGAGAACTTCGCCATGTGCTCCACGTAGGGTGTCGACTTGCTGCTGCAGCCGCCCTGAAGCCAGGAGATCAAAAGGGCTCTGGCCTTCTTCTTGGAGCTAAATGCTTGGGTTGCCATCACATAGGCCTCCTGGTCACCGCTGGACTTTCGGTCCGCCTCGAACTTCTTCCACAACCGCATCTGCTC